GGGCCCAATTCAAAGTGCTTGTTTTGACATATAAAGCCCTAAATGGCTTGGGCCCTGGATACCTGAAGGACCGCCTCCTTCCATATGAATCTACCTGGCAGTTAAGATCTAGTCGGGGGCCCTTTTGAAAGAGCCGTCCCTCAAGGAGGTAAGAGGGATGGCTTGTAGAGAAAGGGCCTTTTCCGCAGCTGCCCCCAGACTATGGAATGCCTTCCCAACTGAGATTCGTCTGGCGCTGACACTGATGACATTTTTTCACCAGGTCAAAACCTTCCTGTTCCAGAAGGCTTTTAATTGAAATAATATTAGCTGTGGGTCCGATGGCAATTATATATATATATTAATTGTATTTTAATTGTTACAAGTTTTTATTGTATTTTAAATGTTGTAAGCCGCCCAGAGACCTTTGGGTAGTGTGGGTGGCATATAAATTAAATAAATAAATAAATAAATTTTGTTATGAAAAAGTATATAGTTATAGTATATAATATATAGTTATTCTTTTAAATCATATTTTATCTACAACCAGACTGGCCTCTACTATAATTTTTTTTTCAACGAGAAGACAGAATGCTATGGAGAGCAGCATTAACTCTGTGGGCCCCAGCATATTTATGTTACTGCAGATGCTGTTGGCCACTGCTTCCATAACTGATGGAACTGCTGGATCTACTGACTGGCAGAAGAGATCTGTTCCTCCTCTGGTAGCTCACTTGAGGAAAGGGGGAAGTGACCTTCTCCACTGCTGCTTCTGGCCCCAGAGCACCTCTGGCGTTAGTGACAAAGACGTGTAGCCTTTACAGGTTTCCTAGTGCTTTCACATATCCCCTGTAAGATCCTAAACCTTTAAACCTTTCTTAGCTATATAGAAGCTGTTCATTGTAAGGGGTGTCCTAGATTTTGGGGGAACATATAAATTGCACCTTGTTCATGTAGCAAATCAAAGGTTTGGGTGGCTTGAAACATGGCACTTCCAGCGATATTATGTATGTCCCTGTTTTATGCAGAGAACAGGTTGGTGGGTGAGTGAAGGTCACTGTTGAGAGACATAACAGTAGTCATCAAAAGCATCCCTGTTCATGTTGACAGGGATTATAGTCTTAACATATTATTTATAATATTTATAATAAGCCTCTGCATATTAATTTTCAAAGCAAGTCACACATCAATATTAGTTTTATGTTATTATAGTCTGGAGGTATTAAAGTAAAAGAAATAGATAACCAGGCAAGCTTTATTAACTCAGTATATTGTAATGAAGCTCTGATGCAGACTCTTGAGGCTGAAGTGTCTTCTGACTGCAGCACAGAATGATGGATGTATAGCCTTTCTCTGACATGGGAGAACTGTGGCACAGAAGCAATGGTATGCTAAATAAGAAACGGCGGATGGCAGAAGCACCATTTAGAGAGGAATTACAGTGAAAGCTCAGAGAATTTTACCATCTTCAGTATTCCACCGCTGCAGTGGCGGAAAAACAAATGTACTGTACCTTTAAACAGCCTGAGCCATGTCACTGTTGCCGAAGACAAACGGAGCTGAATGCACCTTTGCCGAAGATTAAGATGCAATTAGCATTTTTGTCTTTGTTTTTCTATCAGGATCCACAAGTGAATGACTCCATTATTTTCAGAGGGCTGTTAGCATTCTTTTTGTGTCCTGTCTCTTAGCATATTGATGGATTCCAGCTTTCTTCGTGGGAAAATTCGTGTGTTACTGTTTTTGTTTTTCTTCTGCACAGAGCTCTGCTGACAAATAATACTGCTGATCAATATTAATGATTCTACTACCACTCTGACTTTTTTTAAAAAAAAGAATTGCTAACATGAATTTACTAACATGTGGAAGATTGTAATAAGACCTGATTTATTTTCCTGGATTTTGCCCCAGGAAACTGGAGTTATAAGGTACTTAAACAAACTTAACAATCATGGCTGAAAAAGAGAGGTGAACAGATTTAGGAGGTTCTTCAGATATGATTTTTGATGGATTTATTCACTTTACCTGGAAGATTTGGGGGGCTTCTGGTAAATCACATTCACATCACCCAGAAGATTGGGTTCTCCAATCTTGCCTCTTACAAGTGCTGCTCCAGATCCCTTCAATATCGGATGGAGATTAGGAACGCAAGGGTAATAGTAAACTTTCAAAAACCTTATTGCTATAGTTTTCATGTAGCTACTATCATAGTTTTGTTTGTATTTTTGTAGCATGCAGAAATAGAATCCCAGTCTTTTAGAGGCTTGACACGCAAAATACTAAATCATTCATCAGCGGTTAATTATAAATCTTAGTTGTTAATTTATTTTTAATGCCATTTGTTTATTGAATTTTAAAAATAATATTTCATTTAAATACATACTGGGGTTTGTGTAATGTATACATCTTTAAAGATACATGTTTGATCAAATGAATAGATGACCTTTACAGGTTTAGCTATTTAATTTTTTACTCTTGGGATACATTGTATATTGAAATGTATAATGATTTTATTGACAGAAGAAAGAAATACTTGGGGCAAAATATTCTTGTTTTTAAATTTGCCTTCATTGGCAAGGTCATCATAAGAAGCATAATCACTGAACCTCGTACATTATTAGAAGCAGTGGGATATTTATTTTTCAAAGTGAATGGATGTGTATGGATGGTTGACTAAGAGTGTCATCTTGTGTATTCTTACATGAGAGTAAACTTAGCTGAACTCAGTAGGTCTTCTTTCAGAATCAACATGTATAGGTATTTCTGTAAGAGTGAATGTGAGCATGTGGTAAAGACTGATAAATCTATTTTGCTTTTTTGCCTACTCTCTCCATGTAACATTTTCCCTGTATGCTGCAGATATTTTATATATTTCATAGAATTGATCAAAAATAATATTGATTATCAGCATGAGAATTTTGTTTATTTATTGCAGTGGCTGAATCACTTTGATATTAGAATAATGCAGCAGGTTTTGCTTGCTTTGGGCAAAACCTTCCACATTATTCAGCTATCAAAGTGATACCCTGTTATTCAGAAGAATATTAGTTTGTTATTGAAAGAGAGGGAAGTGTTTTTAAACCCCAGATGGCCTGGAAGACTCATTTGCTCAGTGTTTTATAGGACTTGCTGAGTGCAGCTGAGCCATGAAACATTTATATGAGATGGCTGGAGGAAGGGGATTGCCCCCTTGAGACTGGAACAGTTTATTAATTCTTGGAATCTGTCTTTGAAAGGATATAAGCACCACAAGGTGAATCCTCCTCCATACACTAAACAGGGACACTTCAGAAGACAGGAATGGATATTTCAGGATGTGTTAATGGAAGTGTAGTTTATTAATATATTCGCAAAGGCTTTCACAGCCAGGATCTAATGGTTGTTGTGGTTTTTTTGGGCTCTTTGGCCGTGTTCTGAAGGTAGTTCTTCCTAACATTTCACTAGTCTCTGTGGCCGGCATCTTCAGAGGAGAGCACAGAGTGAGAGCACAGAGTGCTGTCCTCTGAAGATGCCGGCCACAGAGACTGGCGAAACGTTAGGAAGAACAACCTTCAGAACATGGCCAAAGAGCCCGAAAAACCCAAACAACCGAAGTGTAGTTTATTTGACACCGGTTAGGCCTTGAGTACTGTATCCAGTTCTAGACACCATAGTTTAAGACAGATGCAGAAAAATGAACACATTGAGAGGAAAGCAACAAGGGTGACCAGGTGACTGGAAACCGAGCCCAGTAAGAAAAGATAGAAATAATTGGGCATACAGTATTTTGCCTTGAAAAAAGGAGACTGAGAAGAGATACACTTGAAACATTTGAAAGGTTGTCATACAGAGGAGGGGCAGGATATCTTTTAAGTCATCCCAGCGTGCAAGACATGTAATAGGAAGCCAGAGTTCAAGTTACTATAGGAAGCCAGATTTCGGTGGAATATCAGGAAAAACGTCCTACAATACAATGCAACAATGGAATCAATTACCTGTGGAGGTGGTGAACACTCCAGTTTTTGAAGTATTCAAGAGAAAACTAGACAACTGTCTGTCAGATAAACTTTGATTTGTATTCCTGCATTGAGCAGATGGTTGTACTCAATGGTCTTATAGGCCCCTTTCAACTCCATTATTTTGTTTCCCTCTCGTCCACTGCTATATCGCAAGAGTGGTAATTCTACTCTTCTGTCTGAAGAAATTGACTTGTCTATGAAAGCTCACATTAAAATTTAGCAGCTAGACTTTAAGGTGCCACAACATTTTTGTCTTCTTGATTTTTTTTTCCTGATAGGCTATATCACTGGCACTTACTCAGAAACGTCCCTACCTGAGATGATAGGCACCTGGAATTATGCATGAGAAGGCCTTTTGAGCGATAACTCAAATATTGTGGAATACTCTCCTGATGGAGATTCCCTGAGCCTAATCTTTTATGATTTTGGGAAAATGTTAAATTTCTTATATGATCTATTTTGGTTAGGTTCAATGCTCCCACACTTCATTCTTAAAAGTTTCTTTAAAATTGTATTGGCTTTATATTGATTGTAGTTTTGTTCAATTCTTTGCTTGTTGTAAATGGAAAAACATGGTAAAAACAAATATTACTAGGAAAAAATAATAATAAAAGCACACTCAGATATGTCCTTAGTAGTCCCAATAAATTGGAGTGCACCTGCCTGATTGAAGCCGTAAGAGGGTTCTTGATAGAGGTTGGGGTTAATTTTGTTGTGGGACTTCTCCAGTTTTAGAATTGTTGTATTGGTCAATGTTTCTAACATGTAGTTATTTTTATACAAATTTGACAGGAACCCAGTAATAAACGGGTCAGGACTCTTTCTAGAGTGACATCACTAGCAAGCTTAATTCCTCCTGTCCGAGCAACGCCTTTGAAGCGATTTGGTCAGACTCTGCAGGTAAATTGTGATTATTCTTTATTTAGGTTAAAAATAAGGGATACAAAACTGTTGTGCTTTTTCTTACTGTAGACTTTCTCATTTTGTATGTTGTACATCCACATGATGGCAGAAAGTGAGGAGGAATTAAAGAACCTTGTAATGAGGGTGAAAGAGGAGAGTGCAAAAAACGGCCTGAAACTCAACATCAAAAAAACTAAGATCATGGCCACTGGTCCCATCACCTCCTGGGAAATTGAAGGGGAAGATATGGAGGCAGTGACAGATTTTACTTTCTTGGGCTCCATGATCACTGCAGATGGAGACAGCAGCCACGAAATTAAAAGACGCCTGCTTCTTGGGAGGAAAGCGATGATAAACCTTGACAGCATCTTAAAAAGCAGAGACATCACCTTGCCAACAAAAGTCCGAATAGTCAAAGCTATGGTTTTTCCTGTCGTGATGTATGGATGTGAGAGCTGGATCATAAAGAAGGCTGACCGCCGAATAATTGATGCCTTTGAATTGTGGTGCTGGAGGAGGCTCTTGAGAGTCCCCTGGACTGCAAGGAGAACAAACATATCAATTCTAAAGGAAATCAACCCTGAGTGCTCACTGGAAGGACAGATCGTGAAGCTGAGGCTCCAGTATTTTTGCCATCTCATGAGAAGAGAAGACTCCTTGGAAAAGACCTTGATGTTAGGAAAGTGTGACAGCAAGAGGAGAAGGGGATGACAGAGGATGAGATGGTTGGACAGTGTCATCGAAGCAACCAAGATGAATTTGACACAACTCCGGGAGGCAGTGGAAGATAGGAGGGCCTGGCGTGCTCTGGTCCAAGGAGTCACGAAGAGTCGGACACGACTAAATGATGACATCCACATGTAGATACAGAAAAAGAATAATACATGTTTAAGGCAGAGACTCCTCCCACCCTATTTGTAGTGATGACTCCTCCTAGGCAAGGTGTGCAAAGAGAGAGAGTGTGACAGAGTTTTATTTTAGATGACAGGTAAAAATATTTACACTTGCATCCAATGCTTGTTTTGTTGTTATTGTTGCATTTGTTAATGTTCTATTTGCTTTCAACTAATGTTTCGTTCTTAAATATTTATTTTAGCTTAATTTTTGCCTCAAAATAAATGATAAAAAGATTGAAATGTTTTAAAATAAATAATTTTAAATAATTGCCACTCTTTTTACAAAAGAATCTGATCCATTGATTTACACAGTTTTGTGAGGGCTCATAACAACCTTTCTTTTACAAACTGTACTGCCCGCTCTTAAAAGGGATATAGCTTTGATCTAGAACTTGCCACCAGATGTACCTACACTTGCCTATGATCATCTGACATCACATTCATTATGTCAGCCCTCTTCCCCTTGGCATTTATCACTACTGTGCTATTTGACAAATGGGCTAGCAAAGCAAGCATCGCTAGGCGATAGAGGAATAACAGCAAGAAGCTGTACTATTGTAGTCTTTTTGACATTTGCATTCGTGTATCAGTGCTAAATCATATAAAAAGTTCAAAATATTTAACAAAGGCTATTGTCGTTTGGGCACATCCTGAAAAGACAAAACTTCCTAGGAAAAAACAGTAATGCCTTGAAAGGTGAAAGGCAGCAGGAAAAGAGACAGATAACATATGAGATGGATTAACTTAATGACAGAAGCTGTGGCTTTGAATTTGCAACAGCTGGTTGGACATTTGAAGGTCAGTCAGTCATACTTCACCATAAATCTGAGGTGACCCGATAGTGCATAAGAACCATCAATGTATTTGATACATTACACTCCTAAAATGTAGCAATCCCATTTGGAGAGTACTGTAAAGGCAGTGACAGCATATATTTTGTAGATAGGTACAGACGTGTACTATGGAACACTTAAATTTATCAAGTGCTTTCTGTATTGGTAACAGCTGGTAGTCAACAACATGCAGCTTTGCCATGTCATTGGGAACTTCTTGTAAATTCTCAAAATGTTTGCTTTTGCAGAACTGATGTTCAGCTGCTATGAAATGAGAATCTACTCTCTCTCTCTCTCTCTGACCTGTTATAGGTTGCTTGAGTGGACTAATCATTACATTATGTTCCGCAACCACACCCAATATATCTGAAGAAACTGTATGAATCATCAGATTTCCCATTAACATGTTTTGGTATTATATCCCAAATGCTTTCTGAACTTGCTACAGTTCAGTTACAGTGGTGCCTCAACTTACGAATGCCTCTACATACGAACAATTTGACTTACAAACTGCTCCGTTCACAAAATTTTGCTTTGACTTGCAAATTGAGCTTTGACTTATGAACAAAAAAGCAGAAAAAGTGGGGAGTGGACTTTGGACTGCCAGGTACTATTATTTTAAAATGTAAAAATTGGTTTAAAAGGTGCTTGGTTTGGTTTAAAGCTGTTTGGTTTTAAAGGTGTTCTGTTTAAAAGGTGTTCGTTCCCTCCTTCCCTCCTTTCCTGCCCTTTTTTAAAACTTAGGTCATCTTAGGTTAAAAAAAAATTCCCTAGTGGTAGAGGATGGATTAATCACTTTTGCATTAGTTCCTATGGGAATGAATGCTTCGACAGTGCCTCTGCATAAGAACAAAAACAGCCAGAACGGATTAATCAGGTTTCAATGCATTCCTATGAGAAATGCTGATTCAACTTAACAAACGTTTCAACTTAAGAACATCATTCCGGGATGGATTAAGTTCATAAGTCGAGGCACCACTGTATATTTAAAGATATTATGAGGACATATACAAAATTTTGTTGAAAGATATATTGGGATAATTTGGTTGAGATACACTATTTTAACTGAAAACATATATGTGACAATTATTGTACTGCATAGATGTTAATTTTTTGTACAGTTATGTTTATTGTTTGCTCATAAATGCCATGGGCAAATCAATAAAATATATTTGGGAGGAAAAACTAAAAAATGAGCCAAACAATAGCTCTCAATTTCTCTTTCTCTCTCTCTCTTTTTCCTATAGCGTTCCATCAGTTTCCGCAGTGAAAGTCGGCCTGATCTGCTTGCTTCACGTCCTTGGTCTAGAAATGTACCCCCTGCTAGCACAAAGCGAAGAGACAGTAAACTCTGGAGTGAGACCTTTGATGTTTGTGTCAATCAGGTGCTTACATCAAAAGAAATCAAGCGGCAAGAGGTTTGCTTGTTTTTATTTTCTTTAGCACTGTTTCATGTGAAATGTGGGATTAAGGCATTGAAGTGATTGTATGGTATTCATGAAGTATATGCACACATTGCGCAAAATTACAAACATAATATGAATTTGAGTATTCCTTGCTTGGTCAGGTAGTAACAGAACTGAAAACACTGAAATGTACACCTACCCTAGGCTTTTAAAGTTTTTAAAGTACCTTTAACTACCTAGCATCACAGTGGATTCTTAACTCAGGAGAAATTAAGGCTGAAGCTAAAAATAGCTTTTCCTAAGTTTGAAGGAGCTAATGTCCAGGCATCTTTCTTGAATAAAAAAATAGTGAACTGAAGAAAATATCTTGGAAATAAAGGAAATGCCATGCATAGGATAGCACAATATCCTGGATGCTGCAAATAACTGTGATTAAAAGACATGGAAGTATGTTTCGCAGGTACAGTACATGATTCTGCGGTTTGGTGAAGCTAAATATGTCTGGTTTCAGCCTGTGTCTGACATTTCAGTATCAGAGATTTCTTTCATTATGGAAACAAATCTCAATGTGTACATTTTCGAAAGCAAAACTTAATAACCCAGTCTTATCATTTTTCTTTCCTTGCTCTTCTCCTACTCCAGTCCTGATTTATCTTCTCTTGGGTCTTAACATTTGACATTGCTTTGCCATACAAAAGATCTTTGAGGGTGACAGTGAAGACCAGGGTCACAGGTTTCTTTCACAATATGTTTATAATGGGATTGCTATCAAAATTCCCCCTCCATCTCAAGAGCTAGGGCTAGTTTCATTAATGTACTGGACAACAGCACACACCTAAAGAGTATTATTTCCATGTTTTCTTGCTATCCAAAAAGCATTCCAATAACTTACCTTGCTGGACTGCTGGTATAATCTGTTTTATAGTTTTGCTAAGGCTTTTTCTCCTGCATTAAATTTTCCACCAGCAGAAACCTGGCCCTGTGCACGCAAAGTTTCAGTTGCAACCAGAACCAAATGGGTGACAACATTGGCTGCAGGTGCCCGGCATCGATGCAGTGCTACGTGGCCGTGTATCGTGCAACTTCAAGGGAATGCTGATTGCAAGGTTTCAAATATGAAAGCCTTTATAAAAATCTCTTTAGTGAGATTTCTTTGGCTTGGTGATAACAAGCAAAAATATTTCCTTCGTATCAGAACCACAACTGGTTTCAGTTGTGGGGGGAAGGAGTGTGACCTCAGGCAAAAGATGACACTGGACTTCTTTAGCTCTACAAGCACTAAGATCTTTCTTCATTTTTCCACTTCATGTATCAGATACAGACTGATTTTTATCCACCTTTCACCAGCTATAGGATGCATTCATACAGTTTGTTCTCCAGTAAACCTTATGTCTCATGGGGGCTTACACCCAGATGTCCGTGCCTAAGACTGAAGCCCTTGTTATTTTTAAATCCATAGATTGGCACAGAACTCCTCCTACTTGTTCTTCCTGAAAGAGGACATACATTCCAAAAGCCCAACTGCCAGGCAGAGACAAACAGCTTCTAAGCACCATAGGAAGTGAGAAAATCATTTGCTCCACAATCATATTGATTTTTGAAAGCAAGCCTGGAAAAATAAAGTACAAACTAGTTTTCTTTTGTGCAGACAGAAAGTAAATGATAAGGGCACATCTATTTGTTCTGAATCCAGAAATTAAACAGATCAAAAAAGCCATCCCCACATGCCACTTTAAAATCAAATGCCCTTATGATACAATCTTGTGAAATCTGCTTGGGAGTAAGTCCTACTGTGCTCAGTGGGAATTACTGCTGGGTAAATAACCCTTGGATGGCATCTCACCAAGGAAGGAAAAACAGGATGTGGGAAAACACCCATAATGGCACACACACACAAAAAAACCCTAGTTGCTGGGGAAAGAGTTGATTTTTCTTATGTTTCCTCTCATATTGATCTGAAGCCAAAGAGAAAATTGGAAAAGCACACTTTCTAACACAGTCTTGAGGGACTGTGGAAAAAGTTCATTTTTTTAATTGCTGTCTTGTAGCAATGAGGTAGATCAGCAAAACTGCTGCTGAGTTGTTGTAATTTTTTTTTGTTTTTTGTTTTGTTTTAACAATACTGTACTTCTGCATTTGTGCCCTGTCTCCTTAGGCTTACTGGTTAACATATTAGTTTCCGTGGATCTGAGCTGTGCTCTGACTACACTCACAATTTCCTGTAGCCCTGAATGTGTTTGAGCATATGCAGAAGGCAAAACATATGGACCATTGGGAATTATTTTTTCATTAACTCTCATCAGTGGTGGCCTCTTTCTCTAGTTATGGTCTCAAGCGGGAGTCATTTGTAATGGCACATCTGATTTGAGACTTCCAGTTAAAAAAACCTTGGCTTATTAGTTGATATGTGCAATTGAGTTCCTCATGCCAATTACCTCTTTGGATTCCTTTAATATTGTTCCTCAGTCTTGAAAAAGTTCTTTCCACCCCTATTAATAGCAGGCATGCCCCTTTAGTTATTGTTTTCTGGGCGTGTTTTTGAAAGCATCCCTTTCTGATCTTGGTTTACTTTTTCTCTCTCTCTTTACCCTGCCACAATCCTTCTTCTCCCTCTTCTCATTCACCTTTAGGCACTGTTTCTAACACAGCTGCTGCTGAGTTGTTGTAATTAATCCGTTCCGGATTAATTGTCGCTATGTGGAAACATTGCTAAACGGAACGGAAAAACCCATAGGAACGCATTAAACTTCGTTTAATGCGTTCCTATGGGGCCCAAACTCACCGTTCAGCAAAGATCCTCCATAGCACCGCCATTTTTGTGCCCTCGGTAAGCGAGGAAACCATGCGAAAATGGTTGCAGTGGCCATTTTGGGCACCCGGCCGCCATTTTGGAACCGCCAATCAGCTGTTTAAAAAACATCGCAATGCGAAGATTGGTAAGCGAAACGCTTACCGATCATCGCAATGCAATGTTTTGCCCATTAAAACATCGCAATGCGATCGCATTAGCGATCTTAAAAAATAGATTGCTATGCGGATTCGTCGTTAAATGGTGCGCTCGTTATGCGAGGCAGCACTGTATTTCCTGCCGCATCAGCAAATATCTTTCCCCTTGGCCCTTCTCTTTCTCAGGCTTCTGTCCAACCCCACTCTCTTTTCAGGATTCTTTTTCAAACTATCAACTCTTTTTCCTTTCTGGAGAAAAACCAGCCCTTTCAAACAGACCATCCCTTCCTTGGAGCTGCAGTTTTAAAATTCACCTGGTGTAATTGGATTTCCTCTGGTCGTGCCACAAGATAATAGAGGCCTAGCGAACAGCAGTGAAGTAAAGGATAAGCAGACTGGCAATACGTTTAGAAAATGGAAAGTATTTTTCTACATGCCATATGGAAAAAGGGACTAAACAATGGTGAATGCGGCTCAACTTGTAATAATAGATTAAAGTATTTTAAAACCTTCTTTTGTTGGCCTCTCCCATTTTGAAGCGACACTTGTCCAGCAGGCCGAGGCAAAGAGGCAGTCCCGAAGCCAGCAAAGTCAGGGAGCTGGACAGGGGACAGATTGTATTTGTCTTCACTGTGGAAGGGATTGTTGCTCTTGAACTGGCCTTCTCAGCCACACTAGACGCTGTTCCAAGTCCTCTATTCAGAGCATGTTACTATAGTCTCTCGAGATTGAAGGATGCCTAATCTAATCTTTGTTGAGAAATGAGACTAATCTTGAAATACAGTAGTGCCTTGCATAACGAGTTCACCGTTTAACGACAAATCTGCATAGCGATCTATTTTTTTAGATCGCTAATGCGATCGCATTGCGATGTTTTAATGGGTAAAACATCGCATTGGGATGATCGGTAAGTGTTTCGCTTACCGATCTTCGCATTGGGATGTTTCTGTAACAGCTGATTGGCGGCTCCAAAATGGCCGCCGGGTGCCCAAAATGGCCGCTGCAAGTGTTTTCGCGCCCTGCCCTTGCTTACCGAGGGCGCGAAAATGGCAGCGCTATGGAGGATCTTCGCTGAACGGTGAGTTTGGGCCCCATAGGAACACATTAAATGAAGTTCCTATGTGTTTTTCCGTTCCGTTTAGTGATGTCTCCTCATAGCGACGATTAATCTGGAATGGATTAACGTCGCTATGCGGGGCACCACTGTATTGGCATAAAATATTGCTTTCTCATTTATGAACATCACATTACAAATGGTGAAAATACTGTACAATAGGATCGCTACCTTGTCAGAGAAAAGAGAACCATATGCAATCCTTTTGTTGTTGTTTTTGTTGCTATTTATTAGTTTAGAACTTTTTCTGAATTACAACAACAACACATTTAACAGATACTTAGGTTTTTGGTTAAAACGTGAAGTCAAGATCTTATGGGATTTCCGGATCCAAACGGACAGACACCTTGAACATAACACACCAGACATAGTAGTAATAGAACAAAAAAATGTCTGGATAATTGACATTGCAATTCCAGGGGATGCCAGAACTGCAAGTAAAGAATTGGAAAAACTAAGAAAGACCTGGCAATCAAAACATTTAACCTATGGAAGAAATGCACTTCAGTGGTCCCCGTAGTCATTGGGGCTTTGGGAACAATATCAAGAAACTTCACACAGTACTATAAGCAGTTGCAGATCTCAGAAATCACAAAACAGAGCTACAAAACAAATGGCAGTATTAGGAAAAGCATACATACTGCGCTAATATTTAACAGATACTTTGGTTTTTGGTTAAAACATATATCTGTTATATGATACCTATCAATGTTTTTATAATCTTGATTGACTGTGCCTGGCATTTTGGGGAGTTGGGGGAAGAACAAATCCTTCAAGTTTATATTTTCTGTTACAGGCGATTTTTGAACTTTCACAAGGAGAAGAAGACTTGATAGAAGACTTGAAGTTAGCAAAGAAGGTACTACACCCTTCTGATTTTGCCCCTCATTGAATTATCATTGAAAGGCAGCTTTCATTACCTGCTTGTAAAAGTTTTAATAAATAATGAACCTTATTCCAGAACATTCTATGTATTAGCAAATAAGTAAATGTTGTGAAATAAGATCCAAAGTTCAAAAGTTTTTTTCTTTTGTGAACTTCAAGTGTGTATTTCTGTATTTGTGCAGGCTTATCATGACCCAATGCTTAAGCTCTCCATAATGTCAGAACAAGAATTAAACCAAATTTTTGGGACACTGGATTCTCTAATTCCTTTGCATGAAGGTATGATTCTTCCTGTTCAAAGTGTTTGATAAACAGCTATACAAGAATGCTGTGTTACATTGTTAATTCTACATGGAGCTTGAGTGGGAAAATAAATGAGCTGAAATGCCTGATGCTTTAATTATTTTAATTTAATTTAATTTTTGTCATGGAAGAAGACTGGGCATTGGATTCTTTAAAATTATGTTTCTAAATTGTGGATTCATTAAATGCCATTATTTTGTTGATTTGAACAGTTGGCGCTGCCAGTTTTCAACTTTAACGCTGACATATACCTAGGAATTGGTTCAAATGCTACTGAAAGTTATATATACATTGTTCAAGTTTCATTACTTGAGTTAACCATTTCCAATAAAACTTAGATGTGGTAACTAATATGTGAATGACATGAAATTTATTTTCAGTGTTTTGAGAGGTGTTTTTGAGAAGCATGTTTGAAATGAAGTGAGTGCTTTTAACTTACAACTTATTAAGTGAGGGTGTGGTGGGGCAGTAAGAGGGAGAAAAAGAGAATGGAGAGGTAGAGTTTGTTTCCAACTAGAGCTACACTTTGATGTGTCTTAGCCCAATGTGCCCCCTTTCTAGACAAGCAAATTATGGCTAAGGAACCGGTAGCTGTATTTTATCTGTGAGCCTAGGAATAAGAGTAGATTATAAATTAATCTAGAGAGAGATAATTGAACCTATTCCTTTGCTGCTGGTCCATAGTTTGATAAAACACAGAGTGCAACGCAGCTGTCTTTAGATAAAGACAGCCATATGTGGAGATTTAATAATGGAACATCCATGTCTTATGAAGTTTGACAGTGAAAGAACAGTAGCAGGATATATCAGTAAAGCTTGTGAACTGTAGCCGGAGCTCAATGATTTGTACAAAGCGGACAGGGTTTTCACTTCATTTGGTTTATTTTTATGATCAGAGAGTGCTAAGCAGGTGGTGAGTAAGAAGTCTCACCAATCAGCACTTTGGAATATTATATTCCTTTGCTTTCCAACTGTTTTTCCCATAACATGTTCGTGCTTCTTGTATTTTCCTCAGATCTTCTTAGGAGATTGAAAGAAGTAAGGAAGCCAGATGGATCTACAGATTCAGTTGGTCATATACTTGTGGCCTGGGTATGGACATTTTCATGAACTGTGTTAATTCGTTTTATTGTTAACCATTTTTCAAAGTTAGAACAGTGGAAATAGAAGACAATGAATACCTAGATATCATGGCAACCAGACAGTATGGTACCTCATCCTGGTAAAATACACAGTCACAGTGCCAGGACTGAAACGCAATCTAGTCACAATATTTTTGTAAAATGCCTCCATTGATGTAACTGTTTATCAAAGACACATTCAAATCATATGGCAGATTTCTTCTTCATTTGTGTCAGAACCAATCCAGCAGTGCTTCCAGAGTATAAGGATCAGTTGGCAGGGTGCTGTCCTTTCCCAGTGGATCCGTATAGAAGGTACCAAGAGATGAGACATTCCCACTTTGTAAATAGCACATCCAGCTTCTCTATCACACTATTAAACATATGCCAGAATATACACACTTTTATTTCTGTGTCCTGTAACAGTTGCATCTGGCAGCAATGGATGATGGTGACTTCATAACTGCACTGTCCTAGGTTGGCATGTAATAGCAGCATGCCCCAAAACATTTTGGTGTTGCTGGCTCAAAAGATGTTGCATTCAATTCTTTGTTTCTGATACACATTACATTGATAGAATGCATTAAGTGGTAAAATTTGGCTTCTGGTGATCATAATGTAACAGCATCACTGCCCTCCTTCAACAGCAGCTGTTATAATCTAGCAGACTCACTGTCCAACAGCATTAAAATGCGAACAATCTGAACAGGAAGAGTATTCTTAGTATATATATATACTTCACGTACTTACCTCTCTGTTTGTATATGTATATGATAGAGAGAGAGAGAGAAATGCACATATATTAAAAACCAATGTATGCTCTATAAATTATTTCAATTCTTGTTTCTTTTTTAGTTGCCTTGCCTGAATTCCTATGACAGTTATTGTAGCAATCAGGTAGCTGCCAAAGCCTTGCTGGATCATAAGAAGCAGGATCATCGGGTGCAAGACTTCCTACAGCGTTGTCTAGAGTCACCTTTTAGTCGTAAATTGGACCTATGGAACTTCCTTGACATCCCAAGAAGCCGTCTGGTGAAGTACCCATTGCTACTCAGAGAGATTCTGAGACATACACCAAATGATCATCCAGACCAACAACATCTTGAAGAAGCTGTATGTATTCTGCGGTGGTGTTAGCTAAACAATATCTAATAGTTTTTAAAACATTTATCACAGCCAGTTCAGTGCTTGCCTGGAACAGATCCACATTTATTTATTTAGTTATTCATTCATTCATTCCAGCTTATATACTGCCCCACAGTGGGCAATGTACAGCAAATGTACATCAAAACATACAACAATAAAAATATTCCAGTTTAACATGCAGTTAAATGCCAACTTATAAAAGAGTCTGGCATTCTAAACTGCTTTCATATTGAATGCAAAATATTATTATACTGAAATAATTTATAAGTAAGAGAGTAAACTGAAATCCAGTAGTGGAACTTATACCATGTAAGGTTGATGATGTCATAACTGCAGCAGTTTTTGTACATTAAAAAAATTCCAATTTACCCTCCCTTGGGATCCCTTTCATCTTGGGGAAGCTGTTGGGATCATGGGAAGAGGGAAATGAAAGGCTTTGTTGCAGAAAGGGGGGATCAGAATATTTTAATATGCAAAATACTCCTGCAGTTGATGACATCATCAGATTTACACAGTGTAAGTTTCACTACTGGGTTTCAGCCAGTATATATTGAAGGCAACAAATTTAATTCCAGTCACTATAATCAAAATTGGCATTTCCCAAGTAGATTTTTTAAAGAAAAAGGCAAATATTAATAATATATAGTGCTATAGCTACTGTCAACCCTAGCCAGAATAATTAACTCTGAGGTTGATTATAAGTGTCACAGTTCAAAAACATCTAAAAGATCATAGTTGCCCCAATACAGAAATGCTTCATTATTTGTTTATACTTCAACAGTTTTGCATGCTATTTTATTCTTATGTATTATAGTGAAGTAAACAAACTCAGAAAATTAGGATGCCTTAGGCTAAATTAACTTGATATGTAAAGTTATCCAACAAGCAAATGGGTTCAGCTGTTCTAGGGCAGAACATTTTCAGTAGTAGTTGCACAACGTTTGGAATATCTTCTCGTGGAAATTGCACATGGCTCCCTTTTCATAGCATGTAGGAAGATTTTAAAAACATATTTATACATAGAATAGCTTTGTGAAGCTGAGCAATAGGATTTATATTTCAGAAATAAGATTGTTGAAAACATAACACATTTAAAAGTAGGCAGGGAGAATTTAAAGTTTGGATCTAGATATGTTCTGTCAGAAATGCATTTTTCCCTTCTCTGCCTATTATTTCTCTGAATCTTTATGCTTTAAACTGCTTTACATGTAGTTACCCAAATGACATCAGGATATACTAACCACTGACCTGGCATGTTTGTGGATTGTGTCATTCTGTTCTAGTGACAGTTTGTATGAGTGTGCAGGCAAAAACATGTGCCAGTATGAGCATGTGAACTGCTATTGGAAGGGACAGTTGCATCATGTATGGGTTTGTTCCTGTACTTCTTCCATGCACATCCTTCTCTGGACTGTTGAAGGAAGACAGATCTGGACAATTTGCTTTTTTGTTTTGTTTTCATTTGTACTACGTAGTCCATGCCAACCTGCTATTTAAACTTGGGAATTTTAATATACCTACAGATCTTGAACATGTAGTAATTGAGCTGTTAATCTAAGAAAACAGTATAAAGCCCTGCTGTTTGTACACATGTATTAAGGAACTCCTGAACTTTAAGCTGCTTAATTAGATTAAATGTATTAAAAAAATAAAGGTGCTTTGTTCACACTGTGGAATTCCTGCTCCATGTATGTAAAATACAGTATCCTTGTCCATAGAATATAAAGGGGAAGTTACATAGTTTCTGTAGATGAACTTGACAGGTGGCCTTATGTTTAAGCACATAATATGAAATGTTTAAAAAAAAACAGAAAACAAAATTGAGCGCTGTCTTCTGCCCATTTCCCTTTTTCCAGAAAAATAATACTACAGATTTAAGTTCTAACTAAAAAGCAAGAAGTGGATGAAATTGTCTTGGAAAATTATATCTTAAATTAACATCCAAATGGTCTTTTTCACAGATTAATATTGTCCAAGGCATAGTGGCAGAAATCAACAAAAAGACAGGTGAATCAGAATGCCAGTATTACAAAGAAAGGCTAATATATCTTGATGAAGATCAAAAGGACTCCCTCATAGATGATTCACGTATTGTGTGTTGTCATGGTGAACTAAAGAACAACAGAGGAGTGGTAAGGAATGCATTTTTAAAGAAGTCATATTGGATTTATCTCTTTCTTCCAGTTAATTATGTTGAGTAATTAACAAAATGTACTCTTTATTTTTAAATTAAAAATTGCAACTTCTGTTAAGTCAAAACAGTTTAGTGAGGGACTGATGAAACAGGTCTTTATTATGATGCATAGGAGAGGAATTATTTTAAATACACCACAGTATTTATTAAACTATTTCCCAACGTATTGCCCTGAACCCACCCATCTCCATCCATCTTCTGTTCAGAATTAAATAAAGTCTGCCTTTTATCCTGTACTGTATTATTGCTGTATCAGTAACATTAATAGTGCTTTGACTTTGTAAAAACTGAGAATGTGTTGCTGTGCATTTGGAATCATCCAGCTCATTGAGGTCTATGGATGGGTCTTGTGCTATCTCCATTTAACAAAGGTTAAAACAAATTCTGGCCATGGATAACTTCTTTTTCAGAATACTTACTGGATCTGTCATCTCTGTGAGCTCCATAGTACTTCCCAAGTAATCAGAACTTCCTCTGTCCATAATTTCTTCAGATGAACTGAATTACTGACGAGTCCCCAGGCTGTCACAGCTCTCACCAGACAATGAAAGCATGTACTTGGGAGATATTGTCTTGGCATTTATATCTTTGATGACAAGCGGAAAGCTTTTAATAAAGGCACTGCAGCACTTTTTTTGCTCATACCTGCTTTTAAAACCTGCAAGGGGAGCTTTTCTTCTTCAGAACATTTAGGTGTTTCCTTTAAAAACTGTAGTTTCAATAGTGTTCTTCAAGTTCTCTAATGAAATATTCATAACTTACCACTTGACTATATGCTAGAAATGCCCAAATACTCATTGTCTTCTGTCTATAAAAGAGTATCTATCTGTAATTCTTCCTTTTGCTAAAATCAGGAAATTTAGAAAAAACAACAAAAAAGAAAATATTAACTCAGAGTTTTTTTCTTTTACTATCAGAAACTGCATGTATTTCTCTTCCAAGAAGTTCTGGTGATTACTCGAGCAGTTTCACACAATGAGCAACTCTACTATCAGTTGTATCGGCAGCCCATTCCTTTGAAAGATCTTGTGCTCGATGACTTGCAAGATGGAGAGGTGCGACTGGGTGGATCCATACGGGGTGCATTTAGCAACAATGAAAGAAGTAAGAACCTATTTGGATTATTTATAAGCATCTCATAATATAACGTTCTGGCATGCCTATCTAGCTCGCTATTGACCAAGCCAGACACAGGTCACAAACCTCGCATAGATGTTCAGCAAACCTCTCACTGTATTTGCTGCTGCTTACAGAGAACAGCTGAAATGATGGCAGTGTAGATCACTTAGTGGAACCTGAATTACATTTGGCTTGGAAGACTGATTGGTACTACAGAGTTATGGTACACCCATTTAGTGTAAAATGGAAGCACTCAGTGTTGAGATTTCTACAGAACATGTAGTTGTTTAGGCCCCTAGAACTTCAGTGCAGTAGCTCCTAATCTTGGGCAACCCAGGTGTTCTTGGATTGCATTTCCCAAAAGCCTTCACCACTAGCTGTGCTCCTCAGGGTTTCTGGGAATTGCAGTCCAAGAACACCTGTGTTACCCAAGGTTGGGAACCACTGCTTTAGTAGAAGATACAGACTAAGACTTGCACTTCAGAAGAACCTTGAAAAATACTTAATGCAGTATATTATTTCTGTAAGTTAACGACTTTTATTTTTTCAGTTAAAAACTTCTTTAGAGTCAGCTTCAAAAGTGGATCTCAAAGCCAGTCTCATGCATTACAAGCAAATGATGCCTTCAGTAAACAACAGTGGCTCAACTGTATCCGCCAAGCCAAAGAATCGGTCTTGTGTGCATCAGGTGAGGGTGGAATTCCCTATTCTGAGGAACCTTTACTACCACCATCGAGTAGGAACCGAATATCCCGGCAAGAATCAAAGCTTGAGCAAATGGACCAGTCAGACAGTGGGTCTGATTGTAGTATGGACACCAGCGAAATCAGCATTGACTGTGACCACATGGAACAGACAAATACATGGGAGAATGACAAAGAGGTAGAAAGCAATGTCTGACAAAAACTTTATAGAGAATTTCTGTCTCTACCTGTACAGAGTCCATATATGGAGCAAGGAGCACTTTTCAATATTTTTGTGACAAAGTCACCTCAGTCTCTTATATTTGTACCTTTTGACCGTAGTACTGTAACTGCCAGTGTGTGTAATTTGGAATGTATGGCAACTGTATTCCTGTGGTATTCTGTAAATGTCTCAGTGTCTGAGAGAGGTACTTGATCAGTCATTTCAACTCTCCTACCAGTAGCTATATCACTGTTTATGCATATAAAATAACACATGTCTCTGTTTAAAAAGTGCCCAATTTTGACCTCTCATATGGCAGCTGAACACAAGGCATCCCTAAATTCATCAAGCTGGACTTATATTACTAATAATAATCATGTGCCATCAAGTCAGTTCTGACTTTTGGCAACCCTTTCCCTTTTCTAGGTAGAGAAGACGTGGTCTACTGTTCCCTTCTTCTGGTGCACACTGGGACTGTGCAGCTTGCCCAAGGCCACACAAGCCTTGGAGACAAAGTACAGTCAGCCTGTGTACTTTGTGGGGAATTTAACTTCCAACCTTTGGCTCTGCAGCCAGCTACCTAAACTATGGAACTATGCAGCCAGATGGATATATACCATATTTTCCCATTTATAAGATGCCCCCCTTTTCTAATCCAAAATTAAGAAATAATATTTTAAACATATAACGAAACAAAATTTTATTTAGTAATTAGGTAAACTTTACATACCAGTGCTGTCATATTATGTATCACACTTTAACTTTATTCAGCCTCTGGGCTCAGAACACTCTGACATTACGAGTTCCTGTTGCATCTGAGCACTGCCTACATGCTCCATCTCCAACGAGGTATGTTCCATTTGGTTTGTTCAGCATCAGCTGACGTCAGACACATAAGGCTTATGATTGGAGGAAGCTATGTCTCCTGACTGTAGGAAGCTAAGCCTTGTGATTGGAGGCATCCTGTTTGCAGAGGCAAGGTATGGGCCATTTTGTTCTCGCCTTAGCTTCCGTGTATAAGATCCTCAATTTTTAGTCTAAAGTATCTTCTTATACACAGAAAAATATGGTATTACATTTCATCCACATTTCAGTGTCTACTTACTTTGTGACTTGCACCACCAGGTGACTACATGCATGAGTGAACCACTGGAGACACTGATGTCACCTCAAACATAATACTTTTCAATTATGTCTGTTCATTAAATGTTGAGAAATCAAGTAACTCTTTCTGAATCTTCTTCATAGATCATGCTGGGAGAGAGCAATACTGCTATAAAGTCAGTAGGACTATGAAAATACTGATTGATTCTGTAGCTCTTCTGGAGAAGCTACGATGAACTCATAAAATTAAATTGTGCCTAGTGTATTTGCACAGTACTCAGATGTAAACTAGACAGTCATTTGAAAGAAGATGGTACTGCCATCTTTACATGAAAATAGAACTTTGGCTTTCAGGCAGCAATAGATTTATTAACCTAGTTGTAATAAAATGATAGAAGAACAAAGAAGCACCAGAAGAATTGAGAAGCTAACATGTCCCAGTGACTACTTTAACTGTGTCTGTTTTGTTTCATGCAGACCCCCCATGTGCACAACCAGGTGGCTTATGTATAAAATGGTGCTTACTAATATATAAGACTTTGGTTTTTTACTTTTTAAAATTTCATCTATTTTTAATGTCATCTTGTTACGTAATATCAACAAAAACAACCCTTTCTTCTCTCTTCTAAAGTATTCAGACTGCAGCATCTGTTACCGCCATCATATGCCATTTACCAAGTATGGACATTTTTATTGAGGCTCCTGTAGGAGGAATGAATGTGGCGATCTCAGGGCTCAGATTCAGCATAAAGCCCAAGAGAGCCTTCCAAACATATGCGAAGTGATTATGGAAACTTGAGATTGGGGCCTCTTGCCAAAAGATTCACAAAATCTTTGTTAAATAAATAAATCACAAGTTATCCACTGCTTTGTTTCAGAGCAGCTGCCTTCATGTGCTTTTGGTTTTAAGTGGCATAATTTTGATTACAATGTACACTATGATTCCAAGAGAAAGTATTCTCAAATTCAGTTTTAAAAAGTGGTTCACAATCATTTTTCTAACAGATTTTTCTTTCTTGTGGACCCACAATGTTCCCACATATTTGCTTTCTAAGACAGTTATCTGCAGCATCCATTGATACTGCAACCTAAAAGTGATTATACGTCATACTTCTTCATTGGGAGCATAGCTTCAGCCATCCTTGCAGCCTTAAAGGTAGGAAAATGTCAATAAAATTGGAAGCTCTGGGGTAAATGCTAATTAAAAAATGTGAGAACAATGAAATGCTGAATTTGACCCATTTCTTAAGGATAGGTCCAAAATTTGCAATATAGTGCACTAAGATTACCATTATCATTAGTACTTACTTCCTATACCACAAAGATTCCAGCTTCAGTATAATCGGTAATCCTCATAAGATGTTGCCAAAATTCATACTTCATATATTTTACATGTTTACAAAAAACCTAGGGCAATAACCTCTCAATTTTAATGTGTACATACATGTTGCTGGGTGTTAAGAGGAGTAATTGTCTTAGAAATACTCATTCTAAAATGCATTATACTTCTATTTTTGAAAAGGATATCATGGTCTATTTTATTCTTTAGAATGTATTCCTGTATGTACAGATTTAAATATGATAATTATTTTCTATTTCAGTATTGTAATTTATTTAAATTGCTTCATTTTGGAAGTTGACTATTAGCTAACCAAGAACAAGAGAACTGTGGACACAATCCAGTGGTGTACTTCTGCTGGGTTTCATTACTTCTGTTAAAATCCATTATTTCCCGCCTCCTTAGTCCTTAGAAGAGGGTCCCAATTCTGCTGGTGTTATGACATATAACTGAGCCAGAGAAAACATTTACAAAAGAAAAGGAAAGAGAAAATATGAGACTGCAATCCTTTGCACATTTTTGGTAATCCTCACTGGACACCTTGGGATTGCTTCTGAGTAAATACACACAGGATTGTATGACTAGGAGTGAACTACTGAAATGAAAAATATGTACCAAAAATTGGAAGAAGTGTGTAATGTCTCCATTTGTTGAAACAGTATGTATTGCTTAAAGCTTCTTGAATAATAGCCTTACACTATTCTCAAAGCATTTGAATAAATTACACTGAACTATTTTTCACATCTTTTTGTTTAATATGTGAAGCTTGATCATCTTTCAGTGCTTTCTAAAAAATATTTAGCAGTAATTCCACATTTAGCAAACCTAACCTGCAAACACTTACTGGTAATCTAAACTGATATTTATTTATTATTTGTTTCATTTCTAGACTACCTTTTTCCTAGTGAGGAGACCAAAGGTGGCTCACAATGAGTAAAGCAAGTTAGACTAAAAACATAACAAATCACAAAGATTAAAAAAACTGACCTTATATTAAAAATTTAAAAGGTTATCTAAGCATTTTAAAACTTCAAAAGTGTAGTTTTAAAAGCCTGCCTGAAGAGGCAGATCTTTAACTGTGGCTGAAAGGGACCACCTAAACCTTCTGTAGCAGAGCACTCCACCACCTAGGATCAGCCACAGAGAAGGTCCTCTCCCACATCCCAGTCCAATGTGCCTGTCAGGGCAATGGTACCCAGAAAATATCTTTACAGGAACTCTTAGAAGCCAGGAAGGCTCAATCTTGGCTTTTAAGACAGTCCTTCAGATAACTTGAACTCAAGTGGTAAAGAGCTGTATAGCTCATAATAACCAGCACTTTGAATTGAGCCCAGAATCAGATGGGTACCCAGTGCAGGTAAGTTGTATGCTATCTGTAACTTGCCCCAGTTGACGGTCTTGCTACTGCATCTTGGACTAGCTGAAGTTCCCAAACTATTCAGAGCAGCCCTATGTAGAGCATATTACCATAATCTAAGGAGGATGTAACTAAGGCATTTGTCACTGTAGCCAAATCAGACATTTCAAGGAATGGGCGCAGCTCAAGTGCCATTTTCAACTGTCCAAATGCATTCCTGGCCACTGCCAAAACCTGGGCATCCAGGCACAGGGCGACTCCAGGAGTCAACCCAAGCTGAAGACCTGAGTTTTGGGTGGAGCAACCCCATCCAGCGCAGGTTGAATTCCTATTCCCTCATTTGCCTTTCAATTGACCAGAAGCACCTCCTTAGTCCTGCATTAAGTTTCAACTTGTTTGCCCTCATCCAGCCCACTACTGATATCATGCTGTAGTTTAGAACTAATTTAGCCTCCTTGGAATTGGATGGGAAAGATGGCAGCAAACTCCAAAGCTCCAGACAATCTTTTCTAGTAGTTGGAGCCCCAAGGAACACCACAGACAAACAACCAGGGCACAAGACTTCTGACCTCCGAGCTTGCCTCTCCAAGAAGAACTGAGGCCACTGGAAAACAGTGCTTCCAAGTCCTATCCCAGAGAGATGGCCCAAAAGGATACAATATTTGATGGTACTCAAGGCCACTGAGAGCTCCAGCAGAACCAATAGGGACATCCCATGCCCACTTCCTAGCAAAAGTCATAAGATGAAAACTCTTGCCTGTTCCACAACCAGGCCTGAAGCCTGACTGAAGTTGCTCATCCAGGAATCCTTGGAGCTAAGATATCACTACAAACACTAATACGTAGCCTTAAAAATGGACTACAGTATTAGAGATGAAGGGCTTCTTCAATAATGCTCTTATCAACTGCCTCCTTTAAGCTTGCTGGCCCTCTGTCTCATTACAAGTACCCTTCGGGCTGCTTTTATAAGCTAGGAAGGACAAGGATCCGACATATGTGTGGTAGCATTCACCTCTCCAAGAATCCTGTCTACATCTTCAGGCTACACCTGTTAAACAGTTAATCTTTTACTACTAGACAAGACAGGTAAAAATTACATCCACAGGACCTGCATCAGCTACAGAATCCAAGTCTGACTGGATCCAAGCAACTTTGTCTGCATAGTGTTGTGCCAGTTTCTCACAGTGGTTTTGCTGTTTTAAGTTATTCCACTGTTTTAAGTGGTCTGGGGCATAATACATGCCCCCCCCCCGGATGCAGTGTCAGTAGAGAAGGCAACTTTCTTTGTTGAACCCAGTGCCACATAGGCTTCAGAACCATTGTTGTTCATATTAGAAAAGCAACAAGGGAAGGGTACAGTAGTCATCTTTCATCTAACTGTTCATGCCCTGATTACAGAA